TTGAGTTATAGGGTTTGGGTGAGCCCTGAATTTCGCCCTATTTTTATGCCTGTGATAGTGGCGGAAGAAAAGGGAAGGTCAAATAGAGGGGAGGGGAGGGGAAATCAGTCTCTGAGGGGAAAGGAGGGCTCACCGGATCACTGGACTAAGCTGGAATAAGACGTTAGATCGAGAAGAGATAGGAGGTTTGAATTTGGGAGAGGAAGATAAAATTTCAACAGGAGGAAAGGACGTGAATGGGTTAGTGATGCGGGCCGGAAAGGCAGAATGGGTCGGTCCTCTTCTAATTATNAGATCGAGAAGAGACGGGAGGGTTGAAATTGGGGGAGGAAGACAAAATTATAACAGGAGGAGAAGACGGGAACGGGTTAGTGATGCGGGCTGGAAAGGAAGAGTGGGCCGATCCTCTTCTAATTATCATAGAGCCGGGCAAAGCTTTCAGCAAGTATAGGCCTGGGCCTCCTCACATGGGCCCAGCAATTTTTCCCAATTCCATTAGAATTGATCCTAAGGGGCCCATATTATTTCAAGATGGGCATGATAAGGCTCCTAAGCATATGGGTACAATTGTTCCTCCTTCTTCTGCCAATGGTGCTTCACACAGTGGCACTCCTTCACCGAGCTCTAGTGATCTATGCCCCCCTACGATGGCCGCTGCTGCAGGGGCAGAACCGGCTAAAGATGGTGCCGTTAATCCACGGCCCCCCGCCTCTGATAGACCCAGTTCCATCAACCCTTCACCTGCTCCTGGGTTTAGTTGTGCTGAGGTCACACTTAAAGTTTCTTCTTCTTCTGGGGAAATTGTTAAGCATGCCCCAATTGATGTCAGTGCCAGACCAGTACTTTCAGCTAATATGCCGCCAAGGGTTCCATGCTCTCTTCCTCCATGCTACCCTACTGGTGGTTCTGGACATTCCTATAGCAGCGGGGTGTTAATTTCAGAGGTTGCTGCCCCTCAAGGAAATGGTGAGATCCTTTCGGAGGTTAAAACTCCTAGTGCTAGCAATGTTATGGTCTTGTATTCCTCTGGTAGGACCAAGGAAAGGGTACATATAGAAGACGTCTGCCCAGTTTCGTCACGGATTGGAGGAGGGGATATCTCTTTCTGGATGGAGGATAAACTATTAAACTTTGGAAAGTTTCTAGGTGTTTCTGTTGAAGGGAAGGAAGATAGGGTGTTAGAACTGTTGAGGGAGATTGAGCAACAATCTCTTTATGATGGTGCAGGGAGGGAGTTGAGACAAGGTATTAAGCAAAATAATTTAGGGGATGTAGTGGTGTACCAGAGAAGGGGCCGGGTGTGTGACAAGAAGGATGGGAGCTCGGCTAGAGGGGGTGGGGAAAAGGGGGATATTGTTACTTATGGAAGTTAAGATTCTTTCATGGAATGTGAGGGGATGACTGACCCAAACAAAAGGGCCATCATCAAAGTGGGAGTTAGAAAGAGGGGTGCTAACCTAGTTTGTTTTCAGGAGACAAAAATGAAAGTTTTGTCCGATGTGATTGTGAGGAGTGTATAGGGAGGTAGTTGGGTAAAATATAACTGGGTCCCAGCAGTGGGAAGTGTCGGGGGCATTCTTCTAATGTGGGATGATAGAAGCTTGGAGGTAAAGGAGATTAAGAAGGGAGTTTTTTCCTTAGCAGCTCTTGCCAAAGATAGAGTGAGTGGGATGGAGTGGGGATTTGGGGGAGTGTACGGACCGGTAGGAGAAGGGTCCAAGGAGGCTTTCTGGGAGGAACTGGCCATTGTAATGGGGGAATGGGACATTCCATGGGTTCTGGGGGGAGACTTTAACACTATTAGATTCCCGGAGGAGAGATTAGGGTGTAGTTTGATTTCGAGGGCCATGGAAGAGTTTTCTGACTTCATCAATGATCACTTTCTCATTGACCTTCCTCTGTCAGGGGAAAGGTTTACTTGGGCCAGGGCGGAGGATTCCAACTCAAGGTCTAGAATTGATAGATTCCTGACATCGCCCTCATGGGATAAACTGGTGCCGAATGTGCTGCAGATTCCTTTACCTAGGCTAACTTCGGATCATTTGCCTATTTTGCTAGATGGATGCAGAGGGAGGGGGGTGCGTGCTCTCTTCCGATTCGAAAACATGTGGTTGAAAGTGCCAGAATTCGGTGAAAAGGTGAAAGAATGGTGGACAAGCTACGGGGTATCAGGGACACCTTCATTCCGTCTTTCGAAGAAACTTAAATTGCTCAAGGGAGATATTATTAGGTGGAATAAGGAGGTTTTTGGGAGGGTAGAGGTTAAAATGAGAGAGCTTATGCATGAATTGGGCGAAATAAAAAGAGGGGACGGGGCGAGGGAGTTAGATGAATCTGAGAAAGCGAGATTGGGGGAGGTTAAGAGGGAAATAGGCGAGTTAGCAATAGCTCAGGAGACTAGTTGGCGGCAAAAATCGAGGGCGCTCTGGTTAAAGGAGGGGGATTCGAATACCAAGTTTTTCCATAGGGTGGCGGTTGCAGAAACTTCATAGAGTCCTTAGTTGTGGATGTGGTGAGGATTGAGGGAGAGGAGGAGGTAAAGGGGGCGATAGTGGGGTTTTATGAGAACTTATATAAAGAGGAAGTTAGTTGGAGGCCGACTTTGGGGGGAATAGAGTTCAACCATATAGGGGAGGGAGACAACGAGTGGCTAGAAAGTGTTTTCGAGGAGGAAGAGGTGCACAAGACTGTGTCGAGTTGTGCTGGTGATAAGGCCCTCAGGCCTGATGGTTTCTCCTTGGCTTTCTTTCAGCTCTTTTGGGACACCATCAAAGGGGAGTTGATGGAAGCCATTGAATACTTCCATGTGAATGGTGTTTTCGAGAGAAGTATCAATGCTTCTTTTATTACTATTGTGCCTAAGAAAGAAGGTGCATCTTGTATCAGAGACTACAGGACTATTAGTCTCGTAGGGAGCATTTACAAGATTATTTCTAAAGTGCTTTCCAACAGACTTAAGAAGGTTCTTGACATGACTGTTTCGTCCTCCCAGAATGCGTTTGTGGAAGGTAGGCAGATCCTGGATGCTACTTTGGTGGCAAATGAACTTGTAGACTCCAGAAGGAAAAACAGAGAACCCGGCTTACTATGCAAGTTGGACCTTGAGAAGGCTTTCGACCATGTCAATTGGGAGTTCCTGGACTTCATTATGATGCGGATGGGGTTTGGGGAAAGATGGAGGGGATGGATAAAGTTCTGCATTTCCTCAGTCAGATTCTCTGTCCTGGTTAATGGTAGCCCGTGTGGTTTCTTTGGCAGCTCCAGGGGTCTCAGGCAAGGTGACCCCCTATCCCCCATGCTATTCATTCTAGTGATGGATGCTCTGAGCAAAATGATGGATAGTGCGGCCGGCGGAGGCTTCTTGAGAGGATTCTCAGCTCCGATTGGGGTGCTCAGTGCCCGAAGAGTCTCTCATTTGCTTTTTGCGGATGACACACTGATTTTCTGTGATGCCGATATGGATCAGTTGACCTGCCTGAAGCAGGTCCTGCAGTGGTTTCAGTTAGTATCAGGACTCAAAATCAACATCGGTAAGTGTGAGATTTTCCCGGTAGGTGAGGTTGCTAATATTAATGACTTGTCTTATGTTCTCAGATGCAAGGTGGGCTCCCTTCCCACTACTTACCTGGGCCTCCCATTGGGCGCTTCATATAGGATACCACGGTTTGGAATCCAGTGATCGAGCGGGTTGAAAAAAAATTAGCAGGCTGGCGAAAACGGTATTTGTCAAAAGGCGGTAAGGAAGTGCTTATTAAAAGCACTTTATCGAGTATGTCCACCTATTACTTATCCCTGTTGCAAGCACCGGTGAGCATCACAGTAAAACTGGAGCGACTTCAAAGGAATTTTCTTTGAGATGCGGCGGATGGAACTAGAAAGTTTCATCTAGTGAATTGGCAGACAGTCACTTCCCCAAAGAAGTGGGGTGGACTTGGAGTGAAAGATCTTAGGGTATTTAACAGAGCTTTAATGGGGAAGTGGCTGTGGAGATATGGGGTAGAAGAGCATGCTCTATGGAGGGAGGTCATAGTAGAAAAGTACGATTCCACGGGAGGGGGTTGGAGGACCAAGGCAATCACAACACCTTTCGGGTGTGGCATGTGGAGGAGCATCATGAAGAATTGGGAAGCATTCAGTGGCAACATCACTTACAGGGTGGGAGATGGAAGGAGAATCAGCTTTTGGAATCATAGGTGGTGTGGAGAGGATACTCTGAGGGTCTCCTTCCCCCACGTCTTCAGAGTTTCAAACCAGAAGGAATTGATGGTCCAACAGATTCGTAAGGAGCATGAAGGGGGTAGTATGGGACCTCTCATTCAGAAGGAACATGCAAGATTGGGAGATTGCAGAACTCCAAGATTTGTTGGCACTGCTATATGGGCAAGACAGGCCCCAGCCATCTTGTGACTCTTGGAGATGGGGCTTGCGTGGCGATGGTTTGTTCACCGCAAAGTCCTTTTACCAGAGTATGTTAGTGAGAGAGGAGACCACTTTTCCATACTCCTCGATCTAGATTCCTAGGGCGCCCACGAAGGTGTGCTTTTTTGCATGGCTAGCGGCGAGGGAAGTGATCTTAACTGCTGAAAATCTCCGAAAGAGAGGAATTACACTTGTTAGTTGGTGCTACATGTGTAAAAGCTCAGGGGAAGAAGTTGATCACCTTTTGTTGCATTGCCCTGTTTCCTCGGCTTTGTGGAGGGCAATCCTGAATCTTTTTGGTGTTCAATGGGTGATGTCAAGCACTGTAAAGGAAATGTTATATAGCTGGGCCGGTTTCCGTAGAAGAAGAAAGCAAAAGGCATGAAAGTTCGCCCCGCTAGCTCTCACGTGGATAGTATGGGGGGAGATAAATAGGAGAGCTTTTGAGGAGATTGAGTCTCCTTTTTCACATCTTAAGAATAGTCTTTTATCTTTGATCGCTTTTTGGTGCACTCATTTAGCCCCTACTTGTATAGAAGATTGGGCGTCTTTTGTAGAGAATCATGTTCTGATGTAAATTCTCTACTTTTTGGTATACTTCGTGTATACGGGAGTTCTCTCCCTTTTGATTAATACAATTTACCTTATCAAAAAAAACATGTTTTACCAAAAGAACTATTTCCTGCATCATCTCTTGTGCTTGGCGGCATGAATTGAAGTGAGCATACATCATTGCGATGAGGACTTGGGGAGAGTTTAGGTATGTAGAAATAATTGTAGTATGGGTAAGAGTTTAGGTATGTAGAAAAATGAATTACACTTCTAAAAGACTTTAGTTGTTTTCCCCTATTCAATATAACATAGTTTGCTAATTTCAGGAATTCACCATAATCAAACACCAAATTATCTAGGATAACAATCACCCCTTGATGTAAGATTGGTACAAATATCATAAACTATAGTTCTTTTTTAACATCAACACAGGTAAATTCCCACAACAGAATTCTGTAAGATCTCATAAAAATGTATGTTGCGAAAATGGTTAAACGAGAAAAGTTATGGCTTAACAAATGAGAGAGAGCACCCCATGAGCCTTTTCAAGCTTTTACGATTGAAAAGTAATGGAAAAGAGAAGGTAAATGTGAATTATTTTCCTCTCCTCTCACCAAACAACATGAAGGGAAGCACAATACTTTCACACGAGTTGAATCTTAGAAAGTGAAAAACTAAGCACCGAGGCACTAGAGGATGCCTTAAACACTATGGTACGGGTAAACTGAGGCTCAAGCGAATAAGTGTGCTTAAGCATTAAAGCTAGATGTAGCGAGATCTGAGTGCTCTGGCTCGAGTCACTTAGGCAGCACTTCAACCCCTTGAGTGCAGGTTCAATAATAAGTCTATCTTATGACTTTTAGATTTAATAATGATTAAATGTTGTTAATGCGGTAATGCCAAAATAATTTAACAAAATGCGAAATTCGTAGGAAAAAAACAGATATAAGGATAAGCACAAGATGACAACTAGTGAAGGTAAAACTACATTTGACTTGTACCATTAAGATTCAAAAACTTGGATGCATAATTATATTGCCTGCTCTCGGTATACCATCAGAAATAAATTAAAAACAAAAAGAGCAACAAAAGGAAAACGAGAAAAGCAATGCAAGATACCTATTTCATAGAAAATATCATTGACATTCACAGCAGTTTTGGCAGAGGTCTCCATGAAAAAGAGGCCATTTTCCTCCGCATACAAGCGTGCCTCCTGTAAAGTCACCAACAACACTATATTAGAACATCGCCAAAACAATGAAGATATTGAACTACCTCAGATATTGTAGATATTAGATAAAAAAGAGACAATAAGTTAACTAACAACAAATGACTACGCGGAGTGATAAAGAGTAGCTAATTCCCTAGTCACTGGAAGTTGACTTTCCCCGCTCCAAAAATGCTACAGTAGCCATCAGAAGCTAAAATTCAGTGATCCCATTATTCATCCTGCTCTTCTACAATTCAGTGTAGACTTTGGTCTCTTATCCAACTCAACTTAAGAATAACGATTTCTAGTGATCTCCTTTAAGAATTTTAAATATTTATGTCTTTTAGATTCCCCTCAAGAGATTAGTATTTTTAACATTCAAGGTTCTTAAAGATTACATATGATCTAAAAAAGTTTAACAACAACAAATTACATGATAGGTTAGGCGGTAGATTGAGAACTCATTCCTGTTCCGCAATTGAAGAGATCTATGTATCACCTAAGATTACACAAGTATGACCTATCTTTTAATTGCAGGAAACTTAGTTATGAAATAGCAACAACAACAATCCAGTGGATTCTCACAAATGGGATCTGGGGAGGATAAGATGTACGCAGCTTAATCCCTAAACCAAGAGGGCAGAGAGGTTATTTCCGATAAACCCTCAGCTTAAAAAAATGAAAGAAGCATTAACAGCAAGTAGTAAGAATACAAGATATTAAGAAAATCGAAACCTTAATTATGAAATAGCATTTTCAAAAAAAATGAAGGCAGCAGACTTCTCCTTGCCCACTAATTGCCGTGGGTTAAATTTACCTAAGCCCTAAAGTAATTCCCACAAGAAACTCTATGTACGAGAGCTTAACAAAGCATAGTGCCCAAAATCCAGATAAAGGAAAAAATGTGCAGCTTAACGTCCAACATAAAAATAGGCTGATTATGATGAAGCCTCTGAATACAGTAATAGATGCAGAGGACACAGGTAACCGACCCCAACTTGTTTGGAATTGAGACGTACTTGATTCATATTGATTCTCACCAAAATGAGTATCTCAGTTTTATATCATGCTCTAAAGCTGAAGACGAAATGCTTCTGTACCTCAAATCTATAATCCAATACATGAATGGTACCCTTTTTAAGAAACCTTAAGCAAGGGCAATTAAAAGCACTAGTAACTACTTTTTTTAACTGCAACCTTACAGATCGGAGATGTGTTTAGCTGAGACAACCAGCAATGCATAAAATCACCATCCAAGAAGTGTGATATCACAAAGACTGCTGGCAAGGACCAATTAAAGGAACCTCAAATAAGAAGATGATGGGTAATAAACATTGGATTACCAAAAGTTACAACTTACTTCTGCAGTAACCTTCCTTCTATCTTCTAGATCTGCCTTGTTGCCAGCAAGAGCCATGACCATGTTAGGATTACCTGTCGCATTGTCAGAAAACTGCTTCATTTAATTGAAAACCACGTGTAATGAAAGTCCTGGTTATTTTAAACGGAAAAGGGCCAAGACTGCCCTCAAACTATTTGATTTGGTACAAATATACCCTCCATCCACCTATTGAGCCAAAAATGTCCTCGCCGTTATCTTTCTGGCTCACTTATGCCCCTACGATTAATGGTCAATGCCAAATAAAAAAAAGTTTACTTAAATTACACGTGGCAACTTTTTATTGGTCCAATTTTAAACTATGACCCCAACTAAATAAACCCACCCTTAACCCATTTTTTTACCCAACCCAAAAATCCGACCCGCCTTAAAAAATGGCCAAACTCTTGATTGTCACAAAAAATTAACTTCTCCATCATTCCAATTCTACCACCATCATAGCTGCCATCATCCCCTTTCCTCCATAGCAAACACGTTGCCACCGCATTTTTAGTCTAGGGGAAGTTTTGATCCTTTTTCATATTTTTATCATTTCTTTATTTTACATTTACCATTGGAGCTGTCATTTTTCGAAAATATTTGTCAAAATATCTTAATTTTCACATTCAAATGTCACTTATAATGGTAAATCTTTTTTCTTTCTTTTCACATAAGATAATCAAAGAACCCATTATGAATTCATGGGCTTTAAATTCCGGAATAGTCAAGCTTTTCCTTCGCAATTGTTGTAAATTTTGCAAGCTCTTAATAAGTTGTTAGACCCAAATGGTAATTATTCTAGAAAATAAACATTGTATGGCCTAGGTACTCCTCCTCGAACGAAATCCTAATTTTACAACCAAAAAAGGACATCAAATCGAAAAAAATTAAAGATTTTTTAATCGGACCCTTTCGATTAGCAAATTATTCTTGTTGTTATTGTTCGGAAATGGAGGAATGGAGCAAACATTGTGGTGACACTGCGGTTGTTATGGAGGAAAGGGGGTGGTGGCAGCTATAGTGATGGTAGAGTTGAAAAGATGGAGAAGTTAATTTTTTTAACAACCAAGAGTCTGGCCATTTCTTTAGATGGGTCGGATTTTAGGGTTGGGTAAAAAAAGGTTAAGGGTGTGTTTATTTAATTGGGGTCATGGTTTAATTGGACCAATAAAAATTTGCCACGTGTAATTTAAATAAACTGTTTTTTTATTTGGCATTGACCGTTAGTCGTAGGGGCATAAGTGAGCAAGAAAAATAACGGTGGGAGCATTTTTGGCTCAATAGGTGGACGGAGGGTATATTTGTACCAAATCGAATAGTCTGAGGGTAGTTTTGGCCCTTTTCCGTATTTTAAAACGGAACTCATATCATTAAAAGAAAAGTGACGCTAAGAAGACAACCATTCACGAAAAATGAAAAGTAACAAGATAATTTCTCCAAAGTTTTATAGACATCTTACAAAAGAGCTATTAGGATATATCCCAAAAAAAGAAAGAAGATTATAACTCCGCTTTTTTATTTATATAAAGTAGGTAGGTTGAAGGAATGAGCACCTTGCTTCTGCAATTCTTGCACCCATTTCTTTGCCCTTGCAAATGAATCCTAAATTAGCAGAAAACAAAAGACAACATCTCAATTTAGATGAATAGACATATGCATAAACATGCAGACATCCATATTACGGAGTTATTTTTTGAGAAGGAATATTACAGAGTTATGATCATGCAAAACCGAAGCAGAATCAGTAAGCAAAAGCCAAAGTAAATCCGAATAAGAATTCTCCCTCAGTAGTCTTAATTCAATAGAGAACAAAAATTATCCACTGCTCTCATTTTATGCAAAGTCCTCCCACCCCTAAGGAACAAAATTTTCCACAAACTGGGATTTTTTAAAACAGCAAACTGAAGCTACCTTCTAAATTTGTGCAAAAATGGGGACCGCCTCTTAACTGCGTTAATTTATGGACAGAGAAAGTCATTTGCAAAATAACATTAGCTTCTTTCTCCAAAATCTACCATTTTCAACCTTACAAGAACATGAAATAAAGCTACCATTATTCCAAATTTCTTTCCACATGCAATACCAGTATATCAAAAGTAAAATAAGTTAATAAGCCAACAGCGACATCACTTTTATTGACCCATTTGATAGTTAATTTTCTCTTTAGGTTAGTTTCTTACCGAGCTAGTGATATCATAGACGATAATAGCAGCAGCGGCTCCTCTATAGTACATAGGTGCTAAGCTATGGTACCTCTCCTGTCCAGCAGTATCCCATATCTCAAACTTCACCGTAGCATTATTAACTGCCAACGTAGACGAAAAGAAAGCCGCACCGATCGTCGATTCCTGTATTATCAATAATAAACACGAAATAATCCAGATTAATAGGGCCAGTGCGCTTCGAATATGAGATGCTTATAACAAAGAAATCGTACCAATAATTAACATCATCGTCGTCACAGTCAATCAGTCAACCAATAATTTCATAAACTTGCTAAATAACAAACCCCTAAAAAAAGCAACATCAAAGGCTTGAAAAGGGTCAAAATTGAACGGGTAAAAGAACGAAGAATACTTGGAATTCAAGGAATTGGCCTTTGACGAATCGTATAACCAAGCTTGATTTACCAGCTCCCATGTCTCCTAACAATACCTAAAAATCAATCAGAAATTTACTATTAAAAAGATTTAAAAGCTATAATTTAAAATTCATTTGTGATACGCGGATGACAGAACTTACGAGTTTTGCATTGAGATTGTTGTGACCACTGGATGCCATGAAGAATAAATGAAATATAGATTGGTAAGAATTAGGAAGAGAAATGGAGAATTTACAGAGAGAGAAGGATCTGTTTTCTTTATGCGGAATTGAAGAAGAACTAACAAAATTCGTTACTGTCGAAAGCAAAAGAGTTGGACACGAAATGATTCCACTGTTCTTTTTGGACTTTTCTTCTCACCCACCGATCAACACTCTTTTTGTTCTTTCTTTCTTTTGGGTGATAAAACTAGCCAAGCCTAGCTGAGCCCAATAATTAAATGTGGGCCTTTTTCAGTTTTTCTTCTTATAAATACAAGCCCAACATAAACAATTGCAGTCTCGCGAAAATGTCCCCATCGACTCATGTTCTTTTTTTTTCTTTTTTCTTTTTTTTT